TGATTTGTATAACTGTTTAGCTAGTACGTTATGCGATATGTGATTGTGTGTGGTTATGCTCTGAGGAACTCACTAAGCTCTCAAGCTTACCGTTTGTTTCAGGTACCTCTGAGCCCAAGGGCAAGGGAAATGCGTGATAGCTTGGCGTGCACTCTATCTATCTTTCACTGATATGTTTTGGGGACACTCTGATGATTTAAATAAAGTTGCAATGAATGTTGAGTTGAAAACAATTATGTTGGGATTTCATGATTTATGCAAATGTGTTGTATTAATAAAAAACAAAAAAAACTTTGTAAAATTTGGGTCGTTACACACACACAGAGAGAGAGAGAGAGAGAGAGAGAGAGAGAGTAAATTAAAAATAAAAAACATATATTTTTTTTATTAAATGCTTTTCAACGGTCAAAAAATTAACCTGTCAATCCCTTTCTTCGTCTTCGTCCGTCCTTGCCTTCACACCACAACTAGGCCTGGCTCATGTTTGGGTTGGCGTGTTGCGGTTTGGCGGGTTGGCGGTTCAAAATATGCCAACCCAAACATGTCCCGTTTAAATATATAGGTCACGGTTTGGCGAGTTTGGAACATAAACTCATATATGACCCGCCAACCCATTTATTTATTTAGGTTCACAGGTTGGCGGGGGCATAGATCAGATTTGGGCTCATGGGTCAAATTCCATAAATAAAATTGACAATTAAACATGAATAAATTCTTTATGGTTGATGCAAACATATCCGAATTTTAGACACTTCAATCTTAAACATCCAAATGAAAATTAAAAACATTTATAGAAACATGTTCAAATTAAACATTAACACAAACATAGATAATTCAAGTGCTAAAGTAATGGCCACAATTCCCATTTTTTTCTTAAAAAGACAAAGTCAATTCTCCAACACCATTTCAATACTTGATTTTGATCACAGGGTAACAGAGGGGAGAGTGAGACTATGGGTGACCAAGAGACTGGAAGTCTGGAAGAGGGGGATATGCTCATACATGATTTGATTTTGAGATTTTAATTTACAGCAAATGGGCAAAAAGGTTACAGACTTAGCCTTACAAGTTACGACTTATGACCTTAGGCCATTTACCACGAATCAAATTGTCAATATAGTCAAATAGTCTATGAATCAATGGTATATATTATATAATACTTATTAAATATTAATTTTTGATACATAAATACATTTAAAAATAAAATAATTTTTTTATTAAAAATATAAACGGGTTGGCGAGTCAACCCGCTTATTTTTTGAGAAACTTATATATGACCCGTTTAATAAACAGGTTGGCAGTTAGTGGGTTGGCGGGTTGAAAAACTCAACCCAAACCCATTTATTTTGTGCCGTGTCACGGGTCGTGTCGAGAATTGTCAGCCCTAGCCACAACCAACCCACCATTAATAAGGGTGATGTTCACGCGTAGAGAGGCCCTCCACATAAGCATCTCATGCGTGGAGACCTCTCCATACTGGATAGCCTAATGTCATCTTCACTTTTCGAAACACCTTTAATAATTCATCATTTTGAAATTCAAAAGATGAATATCTCCCCTCACCATCACCACGCGTACGTCTCTACTACTTTTCCTCTTTCCACTAATGTTGTCATCATTTAACTTCCTAACCACCACCAATGTCGTCGACGTTTTGCCTCATTAGCTTTGTTTTTTACCTCTCTCTCTCTCTCTCATCAGTCATATTGATACAATGCACCAATATATCGTCTCTATTTCTGAAATCGTACGTATTTTTTATTTCTTTGCCCATTGCTCTATATGAGGTTAAACTTAGGTTTATGGTTTTATGCTAATCGGAAGCTTTGAGTATGTGCAGATCATAATTTTTTTTACTTTGAATCGGAACTTCATCCATCTTATAAGGAGATATTGGGTTTTGATTTGTTAATTTCTTTAACTATCCAATGGCATTAGGTCCAGTCTCTTGAATCAATATCCTCAATCTGCTTTTCTTTTCTTTTTCTGAATTCCACACTTTCATCAGACGGCATAAACTTTCTTCTTTGTTTTCCCTCTGAATCGGAGATTTACAAAAAGAATTGTCCAATGTTCTCAGTTTTAGTAATTTTCCTTTCTATTGAGATAATCTCATTTTTTTTGTTTAAATTCATGGAAAATTTTATATCTAGAGCAATGTTTTAAAAAAACTCATTTTTCTAGTTGAACTAGTATGGTGATCGGTTCCAGTTTAACCGCCGAGTCAACCAGTTTCTATAATGTTCACTTTTTTCTATTTTTCTACACATACATACTTATATAAATCATGAATTTGATGTTTACAAGTTCAAACATTAAAAATATACATAAAAATAAGTTGTTGACCGATCCAAATATATTAAAGTCACCTGTAATCATAAATTTTAGCGTTTTACATTCATCCATACACGTCAAAAAGAAAATAAAATATAATACCAAAATAAAATATAATACCAAAATAAAATATAGTTTTAGATAAATACAAAATATCAAAAAAAAAATTATAACATTTACCATAGGTTTTTATTTAGAAAAAACTAAGGGGTCGTTTGATAGTTTTTAACTGAGTTAGTACTGACTGAGTTAGTGTTGACTAAGTTAGAATTTCTGATCGAGTTCACATCTGTGACATCCCCAATTTCACGGCCAGAAAAAACCGATTTGTTTATGCTTTGTTTTTAAAATCAGAGAAATCTTTTAAATAAAACAGTTGCAGAATTTATTCCCAAAATATGATAAAGATTTATCAAAGCATTTCTTTAAAGAAATGTATTTTCATTGTATAACAAAATCTCGGGATGTCATGTTTTGATACAGACACATAAGCATAAATAATTCTTACTTTGTTTACACTAAAGATTTTACATCTCCTTTAATCTCTCCGTGAAATATATCTTTGTATTGATACCTGTGATACAAAGAAAACTGAGTGGGTCAGGAACACCTAATGGGGGTGGGTATTTGAATTGTGTAACACCCGAAAAATTCATGCCAATTTTTAACTTTTTAAAACATTTAGAGACCAACAGTTATTACCACTTTGTTTTCAAAACATTTCTATATCAGAGTATCCCAGAAACATAGTCATAAAAAGTGAGGAGTTGTACAATCACGCCTTTGCCTTGCCACGATCCCCTGATGTACCTGAAACATTAAACTGAACTATAATTCCGAAAGCTTAGTGAGTTCCCCCAAAATACCAATACATATACAATTCGCATAACTATAACAACAATATCATATCATAACATAACATAAATAGAACAGCATGCACTGGGTCCACAGCTTTACAAGCTGGACTACCCCATGGGCCCTCAGTACGAGTTTGGAATGCCTACCGAGCCCTCAACTTGTATCTGGAATGCCATCGAGCCCTGGGTACGAGTCTGGAATGCCTACCGGGCCCTCAGCTCGTATCTGGAATGCTCCCAAGTCCTCAGTATGAGTCTGGAATGCTTACCGGGCCCTCAGCTCATATCTGGAATACTTTCGAGTCCTCAGTATGAGTTTGGAATGCCTTCCGGGCCCTCAGCTCATATCTGGAATACTTTAGGGTTTGTTGGCTACCGTGCGGAGCAGTACAACCTTAACCCATCCCACATAACATGTCGACATGTAACAGAAAAATGCACATACATGTAATCAATCAGTATCACAGGCAATCCTACAGACCTACCCGACTAACATATCAACAAGCATACATTAATAATTCAACTCAACATATCAATAACTACTAGGATATCAAATCCGATGGGCCGGCCTTGGTGCCTTAGACCCCTTAGTATAGTGAGGATAACTCACCTGGCACTACTGAAGTCCCGCAGATACAACCCCAACTGCTGGTTGGCAGATTCTCGCGCTGTCAACATAAAAAAAAATACCCAATTAATAATTGGATTCCAAGCTCAAGGTCTAACTCACACCACAAAACCCCAAAAGTAAAACAATGGGCCAAAGTCCAACATATGGCCCAATTTTCTAAACTGGGCCCAAAACTCTACATGGTCTTTCCTTAAGACCCATCTAATTATTCCAATCCAATTCTCATGATTCAATATCACATAATCATGAAGGCCCAAATATGACCCATTTATGGCCCAATTTTACAAATTGGGACCAAAACTCTTACATGGACCTTATCCTAAAACCATACCATTATTTAGTCCATTTGCTTATTCTTGAAAGGCCCATTAATAGTCCATTCACCAAAGCCCAATAGGAAGGCCCAAATCAAGGCCCAAGTGAGATTAGGGCTTTTACATGAAATGATGATTAGGGTTAAATGTTCCTACTTAATCTACTAAGGACTTAATCCATTAAGTCTAATATTGCTTTTAGGTTGATTTTGCCAATGATTATTATTTAATATTTCAAGTCATTAAATAATCTTTCAAGTCATTAAATAATCTCGTGCGTGTCCAATAAATTCTCAAAATTAGGATTTCATGGCATTAGGGTTTTCCAAACCCTAATTTGGGTTTCCACTCAAATATGAGCCCATTAATCAAATGGTTGGGCCTCTTGGTCACTTTGGGCCTTATTGGGTTGATTAGGGCTTTATTGGTCCCACCTTGGTTCTTTCGGCCCATTAGGGTTTAGTAGCCTCTTGTCCAAACATCCAAAAACGCAACAAGGCACACCACCACCCGACATGGCAGCCGGTGGCGGTAGGCGGCGGCAGCCACCACCTCACGGTGGTGGTTTCAAGTTTTCTATTATTATTCCGGCATCGATTACAATTTACAACCCAAACTGAAAAACACACTCACATACTAATCTAAAACATACACACACGCACAACCACCTCGTGGTGACCGGTGGTGGTGTATGTGGCAGAAGAGTAGCAACCGGCCAATAGCCACCATGGTTGGCTTCCATGGTGGCTCCCAACATTTCCGGCCAGCCCATAAACACATCCACACGCCGACAAATATGGAACCACGCATACACACTTGCAAAACACCCACCGAGCAGCTCTTCATCGGCCTTGAAGAAGGTTAATGGCGGCAGTCGGCAGCAAGCATGGCGGCAGCAACGGCGACTATAATGGCGCATCAACAGAGAAGGGGAGAATAGAAGGTTCTTGGTCTCCAACCAACATCCGTGACCACTCTTCACGACGGAAACCACAACCAGAGATGATCTGAAAAGGGAATGTCGCGATGAGCGACGACGACAATAGGCGAATGGGAGTTAACATCTGCGAGACGGAGCGGATGTATGAGGAATGGACTGCTGTAGCAAGGAAAATGGAGGTGACGCCTCCATCAGAACACGACACCACTGCCAGCGACATCCAAGTGGGTGTGGTTCTTCAACGATCTCATCTATCACCGGCAATAGGGATGTGCGAGGCTAGCTTCGACAGTAGCAATGGTCCACCGAAAACCTTGGGTTGATCGGAACAGGAAGAGAGTTGAGTGGTGGCGGCTGGGCGATGAAGGAAGGAGGCGGCTGAGCAAACGAGTGAGGCTAGGGTTAGGGTTGACGGCAATGAGGCATATATACCCGGTTCCTTAGGCTCTTTCCCATAATAGCAAGAATGGTCCCTCCTCTCTTATTTTCTTTCAAACAACTCATTAATTTACAATCTGACCCGTCTATTCTGACATCCTTACATATGGAGTCCAAGTAATTACCATATGGTCCCTCCATGACCAATTAATTTCAATTTAGGTACGTAATTAACCATTCTAGTCCGAGCCACTCAAGATCCTTTCAAATCAAGTCCAATATTATTCTTTAACCCCCGAAACTAACATTCCGATAACTATTATTAGATTTTGGACTCTAACAAAATAAAATAATAATAAATTACTTCTCGGGGTTCTGGATTTATTATTTAGTTATTTTATTTTAAATGAGATGTTACAAATTGATTGTTAGGATAAAACTAGTGTTGCCAAGGTTCTTAGATTACCTCTGGTGAACATGCAATTCACAATAATTAATGAACACCTAGTTCAGGAACACTTAATGAACACTTAGTTCCAATATTACCCAATGAACACCTAGTTCACAAACACTTAATGAACACTTAGTTCAAATATTACCCAATGAACGCTAAGTTCAAATATCTAATGAACACTTAGTTCGAATATCATTGGTGAACCCCATCACCTAAGGAACACAGAGTATGAAAGCTCTTAATTCAAACAACGTGATAATAAAATATATATTGATCCTGCAAAACCACTAATATTATAAACACACATAAATCATATTTCTAAAACAATATATCCTATCTCGTCGATCCCTACATACTGACCCTACACAATGATCTTACGAGATCTAGCCAAAGGAATCGATATGAACCACAAATTGACGAAGCTGCTTCGAAAATTCCCTGGCAGCAAACGAGGATCAATAAAGACATCAAATGGTGGGAATGGAATAAGTTTCACCACGAACCTTCGTTCGTAAAAGAAAGAACCACAAGGCAGTTAAGTCAGGGGTAGTTATCTAGATAACAATGCCTAGGCGTGGTCTGACTATCATGAGGTATTATACCCCCAGGCTCTACCTATCCCAGCATACAACTTTCCCTAGCAGTGGCCTGAATACATGAGGTATTTCACCCCCAGACGCACCCTATCCAGCAATATAACACCAGACATACCTAGCAGTGGTCTATTACCGACACACTTTATTAGGCAGTCTGCAAAGTTCCCTTAATTACTTCATGAAAGAAAACGCTGACATATGAAGCTCGGTCGATCACTTCACAAAAGAAACGCTGACTCTAAATCTCTCACAAAATAAAAGTATGGGTAAATACTAATATAGTATTCTATACGCTCCCGTAACCGACACACAAAATTGTCAAAAACACTTTGTACATGATAGTACTTCTAGCACATTATAGTACTCTGGTATGCGAAAGACTTGTACCCGAGAACATAATAGTACCCTGGCACAAGCAGCACCCAAGACACAGAGCTTTGAAAAGGACTTTGTACATAAAATGTACTTCTGTATGTAGGACGTACTTCACCGATCATCAATCTCACAACACACGTACTCTTAATAAGAGACTACCCAAAGTCCAATCTTAATAGAACTAAACATCCATATTTAAGTCATAACCCATCACTAGGCAAGCCTACAATGCCTAAAATCAATTTTCGATACTATCTCCGTTTAGGCAATGCCAACTAGTGTATATTAACACATGGTTTTAAGTAATAATATCATATATATACACATCTTAACACATATTGAACCATATCTGATTCGCACATTGTATATCATCAAATATATCTAACACGTATTTTGGATAATAACAAATACTTCACATACATATGTATATTTCATACTTTAATCAATACTCGTATTAAATCATGTTCCTAAAAGGGACTACACACATGATACCTTATCGAATGAACACGTAGTTGAAAAATACATAATCCGTACTCCCGGATCTTAAATTTTCCTCGTTACCTAATCCATATTCTCAGATCTAAAACTAACCTCTTGATCTGATCCATACTCTCGGATCTAAATCTAACCTCCTGCTCTGATCCATACTCTCGGATCTAAAACAAGCTTATCTCTTTATTCTTTTATCTCATGGTCCAACCCATCTTTTATCACCTACCAACAACCTCATCTACTCATGTTCTACCCGACATATTTTTAGATACAAAATACATATATAGTTTAACTCATAAAAACTTATATAATTCATCCATTCCACAATCATCTCAAATAAACAACAATATATTATACACATAGCATGTATTTTAAAGAAAATACTTAATATTTATATGTTAGAAGAAAGTGAATACACACTCACTTGATCAGAAGATGATCAGACAACGTTACGACTTGTAGAAGTAGTATTCTTCGGTAGATCTGGAAGATCCTCACAAAAATTGGCTTCTCGCGGGCAGAGCTTCGGCTAAGAAATGTTACTCCTCGGGATCTTCAGGGCTCCGGGACTTGCTTCGGGTCTTGGGAATGATACCGGGGCTTCGGGATATTTCTTGCACAAAAATCGAGGTAAAAGTGGAGAGAGAGAAGAGAAAATGAGCAAAGGAATAAGGCAGCCTCGCATTCTATTTATAGGGTGCTGAATCTGGGATTACACTGGGTGTAAATCTTGGTACGTTGGGCGTATTAAGACTTATGTTGGGCGTACGCGACGTCATTGCATGCGTATGTACTCGAGTGACGTCATTGCATGCGTAGCTAAGGCGGTTCCGAGTACGCTGGGCATACTCCAAAACTACACTCGGCATACTCGAGTAAGCAGACTTCAAACTTGCGTAACTTTCGCATACGAGCTCCGTTTTTAACGTTCTTTATATCCACACGTAGGTGAGACTAAGCTCTAAAACTTTCATTTAGACTCCGTCAGCTAATTTTAAATTTATTTTTATTATTGTATTTTTAATAGACCGGGACAGGAAATGTCCGTTAAAAATTCATAACTTCTTCCTCCGACGTCCGTTTTCGTCTGTCTTTTTACCGTTGCACTACTATCAACAAGATCTTCGATTCTTGTTTATATTACTAAGGCTAAATATCGCTCTAACATAAATTCAAATTTTACATTATTCAGCGTCGTGCCGGTTCTGTCGCGAAACTTCGACAGGTCATAACTTCTTCGTTATAACTCGGATTTCAACGTTCTTTATATGTACGGAATCCTTGTAACATATACAACAATTTAGTTAAGATTATGCATTCTAAATAATCTTCTATCAAAAATCTATTTTTGACGTTTATCGTCTCTAAATTGACTAGCCCTAATCCACGGATGTTACAACATCTGACTGAAACCATGTTGTTTGATTATATTTTCGACTGACTGTGGTGAATGGTAAAAAATGACCATATTACCCTTATGTTGTCTCATGTGTCGGATAAAATTGGTTATATTCCACTTAAGAATACAAAGAAATTATAAATACAAGGCAAGTTTGTTCCAACTTTAACTTTGTGAAAACATCTTTGACCATTGGAACAATACACTATTAAAGCTTTGTGTCACACCCCAAACCTGAACGGCGGAAACATTCGGGGGCGGAGGATGTCATGTACAGTATCATAACAATTGCATAGTAAAGAAAGTACACACCACCATATAATATATTTTGTAAAGTTTACATGATTGTAGCTATTTACATATTCCAAAGTTAAATACAAAATCATGTTCCAAAAGATGATACTAATGCCAGAGCATTAGTCTTCAAAATTAGTTGCTACCTGGCTTAGCAATTTCCTGAGAATACAAGTTATTTCAAAGAAAAAGTGTCAACAATTAAGTTTGTGAGTTCATAAGTAGTGTTTTGAGAAAATATACGCAATTCGAAAGTTCGAGTATGTTTTCCAAGAAAATCCGATATTTTCTAATGAAAAGAGTTATGTATCGTTGTGCTGAAAATGAACGTATTAGATCCATAAAATCCCATATTTTCCCTGATAAATGAGTTATGAAAGATCGTTGTATAAATCGTATGTATTTGAAACAGGAAAAACTCTTATTTTCCTAAATATGAAATGCAGTCTCAAATGACCGAGACCATAACCTGTAAGCAACAGTGACATGCTTAAATGAATGGTGTATAGTTCTATTATTTTAAAATAATAAAATCACTAGAGTTATGTTTAAATCGGATGTCGAACGTGACAATAATATCATACTATGATTACTTCATACCAACTAGTTATATAAAAGCAATCATAAAGATACTTATTCCATGGATTTATTCGAGAAGTGTATTACTACATGCATGAGTCATTGTTTCCGCGTTGCGAGTCTCTCATAACCATACTAGACGTAGTACCGAATGTTGACATTTGTCACCCCGGCTCGACTGTAGCTAACAGTCAGGGTCAGAGTCGTCATCCCTGTATAGATCTATACATAAATTCACGCTCTCCCTCCATGAGACTCTGGTTATAGAAGTGACTTTTGTTTGGTACAAACAAAGCCTTATGCCTCACATGACTTCTGACAACAAGTTCACGAGTAATATGATGAAAATCATTTGACAATACAAAATAACAATTAAGTCACGTATCCCAAAAGTGTGTATGTTTATATCCAAAATGATTACCCTTTCTACAGTGTTAACAAAGGCATAATAAAGAGTTGTGTTTTCATAAATACACATAATGTTATAGTTGAAAAAGGTTACCCTAGATATGATATGTTATGCAAACATATTAGCATATTTCATTTTGGAAACATGTTTTATCCCAAGAGAGTAAAGTGGTGTAAGGTATTTTGCATGTTAAAATCTTCAAATGATAGTTATAAAAATAACATGAAATGTATAACAAAATATTGATGTTTTCACATGGGATTAACCGTGTGTTTACTTGTATTCCCCCCCCCCCCCCCCCCCCCCCGTAAAGTGTTCAAAAGCATTTAAAATCAGTTAAAAGCGTA